TTTCTCAGGACGGTATAGTCCTTTTTCAGTAGCCCAGGAAAGACTAATAGGGAGCAGTAAAGTAGAATAGGTAAGATACGAGACACCTAGGCTACCTTCCCGTACATCTACATATTTGCATCTAATACATCATATTTTAATTTTTAATTTTAACAAAATATGATCACAAATCAAGAATCATTGAAATTATATCTTTTCAACGTGTAAAGTAGGTAAGGGCGTTGCACAAAATTTCATTAGAGTTTATTTCCGTGTGCAGTTGTGTGAAGTAGGCCAACTTCGATTTATGTTCAGTGATGCTTTTCTGACAGTCTGTAAAACGCTCACGGGAACATGGTTAGCAAGAGGAGAACGCAAAGGGGTATATAGTTCGATAACAGAACATCTGGTGAATCTTCGACATTCAGCCCCATTCGAAAAGTCCTTCAAAGCTATATATATATATATATATATATATATATATATATATATATAAGATCCGATCGAAACTACCAAAGGGAGTGAAGTCAAGATATTTAGGAATAGGTGAAGCACTGGCTATCCAAAACCTCACGCCTATTCTATGTGTTCAAAAGAAATACGTCCAACCGTTGTCCCTATCGTGGCCATCATGAAAAGTCAGTCTCACCAATAATGATTATCCTATTACCTTTCTTGTCCAACCTTCCCATTTATTTCTGTCATATATTCCATTTTTACATCCCTATATGCATTATTAGATTTGATAATTGTTTTTATCTTTACACGTCCGAACCTCCTACCCATTTCGTTAATACTACGTCCTTAACCCGTAGTTATACAAACTGACGAGTTTTCCAGTAATTATAATCCTATTTTGTCTTTTCTACCCTATCTTCCTGATTATAACACACTGGAATTCTAACTTGACCTCTGACCTGAAATATTTCTAGAATAGTGCCACTGCCTATCTCCTGTTTATTACACTTATTATTATTTCCTTTAATTCCTAGAGGAACATAGGGTTTCAGCCGCGCCTATCCATTGCGTTCGGTTCTCTGCTAGAGTTTTCACCTGGCTCCAAGTCTGCCCACATGCTTTCATCTCCTCTTCACATGACTGTCTCCTCCATGTCACTCTCGCACTGACGACCAACTCGCCGATTCCTTTTCGGGTTCCACCCGAGAAATGGCTTGTCTAGTGATGTCACTTCATGGTTTGTTTTCTAAAAGTATGGCCAGTCAATCCACCTCAATTTCTTCCTGCTTATTTGTTGCACAGTCGGTTCCTGCTGGGTTGGTTTGCTCCCAGAGATCCCACCCTGTTGCTGATCTTTTTTGGCCGGCCATCCGATCTTGAGTATTGAGCGAAGAAAGTTGTTAATGAAAGTCTGTAGTTTGTTTGATGTGTTCTTCGTGACGCGGCGCCAACTCTGTGATCCGTATAGTGAGTAGCACTGACTTCACATTAGCGTTGAAAATCCGGATGTTATTTTTGATGCTGAGTAGTGCTGGTGACCTCCACGTAGACTTGACAGTAATGAAAGCTTGTCATACTTTCCCGATCCTTGCTTCCGCCTGTAGTTGAAACGATGCTTCCCAGGTCGGTAAAGGAGGTTGTTTCTCTCAGGTTCTCCCCCCATCTGTTGTTGTTGTTGCTGCTGTTGGTGCTGACCAGGAATCTTCATGACCTCTGTTTTGTCTATGTTCACCTGAAGGAGGTCCTATCTTTGATGCTTCTTCTCTCAACTTGTTGCTTTTCACTTGCATATCTTCCAGTTTGTGGGAAATCAGACATATATCATTGGCGAAGTCAAGATCCTGCATGCTTTTTGTGGGGATCTAATGAGCATTAGTCTTCATAAATAAGCGTCAGGTGTGAAACTCGTGAAACCTAAATGAAGAGTGAGTTAGGACTGTTCAACACATGGTCCTGTAAGTTGCATACCTTAGGTCCTTCAGGTTATTTGGCGTTTACTGTCCTTGGCTCTCGATTTGCAACCCTTGTTATTTTCCATTTCATACCGTCATCGAGGTCTGATGTCATCAAAACATACTTTTTATTGAAATATATAGGAAAGTCTGTCTTAAGAGAAGCAGTTTTACATAAAATAATTACATTGTTATTATTATTATTATTTCATTCTCAGAAAGGAATTTTACGCTGGACATTTACATAGACGTATAGTCATGAAGAAAATAAAAGACAGATTCAGCAAAGAAAAGTTTCTTTATCGACGAAATCATCTTCACAGGCTGTACAGTCGTATTTATACTTACCAGAAAATATACATTGGTCTATTATTGAGTAATAGGAGATGACATAATTCATATAATTTATTCGGAAGTGGCTTTAGAAGTGAAAATTAAAAGTTGTAACAGGATTTTCATTATGAGCTGACATTAGTTAGAGAACCACTGGAAAACCATCTGGGAGTACTGGACAGCTGTTTCATCCTAGTTTGGGACGGTGGGTGCGTACTGCTGAAGAGTCCCAAACTAGGACGAAACAGCCGTCCACTACTCCCAGGATCCCAATGGTTCTCTAACTAATGTCAGCTGATGATGAAAATCCTGTAACCAATCGAATCCCTAACCTCGACAGATACTAGCTTGCTAGGCTACTAGCTTACTAGTTTTCTAGCCGGTCCCAAGCCCGGGTAAAGAGGGGGGGTTGGGGCGTGGTGCTAGCAACTCCACCCCTGTAAAACAACCAAATCGCTACAGAAACTTCAACGAATAAATATATTAAAAATTCTAAAAACATAAGCAATAGCCTTACTTTTCGCTGGAATCGGGGAAGTGAAATGACGCAGGCTGGTGAAAGCCTTCGGGAAGCCAGTCAGCCGATGTGCCTTCTTTCGATGAAAGCAAAAGTAAGGATGGGTACCTGGAATGTTCGTACAATGTACGAAACTGGAAAGGCTGCCCAGATAGCCGCTGAAATGAGAAGGTACAGAATAGAAGTGTTGGGAATCTGCGAAAGCAGATGGAACGGAACTGGAAGGTGCCAACTACCTACTGGAGAGACAGTAATCTTTTCCGGCCACCCAGAGGACAACCATGAGCACACCGAGGGAGTGGCCATCATGATGTCACCAACAGCAACCAAAGCTCTCATGCAGTGGGAACCAATCTCCTCCAGGATAATGACAGCCAGGTTCAACTCAAAAGGAAGGAAAGTTACAGTCATTCAATGCTATGCGCCTACAAACGTCTCAGAACAAGAGAAGAAGGAGGCGTTCTACAGACAACTACAAGCAATAATGGACAACGTCCCAAATGGCGATATCAAAATCCTGATGGGCGACATGAATGCGAAGCTGGGGGGAGACAACACAGGAAGAGAACTCACCATGGGTCGTGAGGCCCTCGGCGAAATGAACGACAATGGTGAACTCTTCTCAGACTTCTGCGCCTTCAATGATTTGGTGATTGGCGGTAGTGTGTTCAAACACAAGGATATACACAAGACGACATGGATTTCACCAGATGGAAACACCAAGAACCAAATAGACTTCATCTCAATTTCAAGAAAGTGGAGACGGAGCCTACTGGACACAAGGTCAAGGAGAGGAGCAGATGTGGGTTCAGACCACTATCTAGTACAAGGGACTTTCAAGGTGAAACTAAAAGCCTCGAGGATAGCTGGGGATAGGCCACAATGCAAGTTCAACACTCAAAACTGAAGGACACAACCACAAAAGACACTTTCACTGCAACTGTCAGAGCAAAGCAGGAAACACTACGCGACATCACTGAAGAATCATGCGTGGAAGAACATTGGAAGTCTCTGAAGGCGATTCTCAACGAAACGTGTTCAACGGTTCTAGGAAGAAAGAAGAGACAAGACAAGGAATGGCTCTCAACGGACACTTGGAAATTAATAGAAGAGAGGAGAATGGTGAAAGAGAAAATGATTCAATGCAAGGACGGACAGGAGAAGGAGACGCTGAGCTCAACTTACAAAGCACTGGACAAAGAAGTGAAGAAAAGTGCTAGGAAGGACAAAAGACGATTCTACGACAATCTAGCTACTGAAGCTGAAAAGGCAGCAGGCAAAAGGGACCTGAGGACACTATATCAGATAACCAAATCTCTATCCGGGAAGAGACCAACACAAGCGAAACCTATAAAAGACAGCCAAGGGAAGCCCATTACCAAGGAAGAAAAACAGATTAAACAATGGGCGGATCACTTCAAAGGACTCTTGAACCGACCATCACCTGCAACCCGTCCAGAAATACCAACAACAGCGCGCACACAACTGCAAGTTGACACCAATCCTCCAACGAGAGCTGAAGTCTTGAACGCAATCAAACTTCTGAAAGCTGGAAAAGCAGCCGGACCAGATGGAATACCCCCTGAAGCACTGAAAGCAGACCCAGAGACTACAGCAGACATGCTGACTCCATTATTGCAAAAGGTCTGGAAGGAGGGAAAGGTGCCTACTGACTGGAGGAAAGGTTACCTCGTGAAACTACCAAAGAAGGGCGACTTAGGCGTCACTCTGCAAGAACTGGCGAGGAATCATGCTCCTATCGACGCCAAGTAAAATCCTGAGTCGCATCATCCTGGAGAGATTAAAGGACGCACTGGAGACAGAACTCCGACCAGAACAAGCTGGATTCAGGAAAGGCAAATCATGTACTGACCAAATTGCAACTCTACGCATCATCATCACAGAACAAAGCATGGAATGGCAATCAAACCTCTACCTCAACTTTATAGACTTTGAGAAGGCCTTCGACAGCGTTGACCGTGAAGTAATTTGGAAATTACTCGAGTACTATGGCGTACCCCAAATATTCATCAACCTTATTCAACAGCTGTACGACAACGGCACATGTCAAGTGATCCACAACGGAAGACTCAGCGAGGCGTTTGGAGTAAACACAGGAGTCAGACAAGGGTGCTTATTATCACCAATGATATTCCTAATTGTGGTGGACTGACTGGATTATGCGTCAGACAGTGGGAAACGAGAAGACAGGAATATCCTGGACCGACGTGAAGAACCTAGAAGACCTGGATTTCACGCGTGGATGATTTATGTTTGATGTCACACAAAATCGAAGACTTACAAGCGAAAACCGACAAACTGGTCGAAGAAGCAGCCACAGAAGACAGGACTCCAGGTGAACATAGACAAGACGGAGGTTATGAAAATAACCAACCAACAACAAAAGCAACAACATCCAACGTCAATCACCATCAACGGGAGGGATTTGAAAGAGGTTACTTCATTCACTTATCTAGGGAGCATTGTCTCAACTACAGGAGTCGGAACGGACGAGGATGTCAAATCGAGCGAGAATCGGGAAGGCGAGAAACACATTCATCAACCTGAAATCAATCTGGAAATCTTCGTCACTCAGCCAGCATCAACAACAAAATTCGGTCGGATTTTCAATACAAACGTCAAGTCAGTCAGTTCTTCTATACGGATCAGAAACTTGGCGGGCGGGTCACAAAGAATATTTCCAAAAGGTTGCAGACCTTTATTAACAACTGTCTTCGCTCAATACTGAAGATCAGATGGCCGGAAAGAATCACCAACAAGGAATTATGGGAACAAACAAAGCAAGAACCAATCGCCCAACAAATATGCAGGAGAAAGTGGAGATGGATCGGACACTCGCTGAGGAGACCGCTGGGTGACATCGCGCGTCAAGCCCTCGAGTGGAACCCGAAAGGGAAGCGGCGTGTGGGACGTCGTGCAAGGGTGACATGGAGGAGATCGTGTGAAGAGGAGTTGAAAGAATATGGACTAACATGGATGCAGGCGAAAAGTACAGCAGAAGACAGAAGAAAATGGAGACGTGCAGTTGAAGCCCTATGTTCCACTAGGAACCCATGGGAGCAATAATATAATAATAATAATCAAATCCCTACAAACCAACACTTGAATATTAAAAGTTGTAAATTACGTGGTACTCAACGGCACAAAGTGAGATGAGGTTAAAATTGCTATGGAGTGAGAATAAAGGTGGTAGTTGAGTGTCAATTTAACAAGTGTGAAGACGGTGTGAAAATATACAAAAGGAGCATATGAGATTGATAATAGTGAATTAATTATTCAAGTAAAAGAAAACTAAAAGTAAAATTAAAAAAGAAAAGAAAAAATCAAATTTTTTTTACATGGAATGATTAGTGAAGAGGTTAAGACCAGGGTAGAATAAGAGACTGGACAAACGTTTTCTGTATACAGAGTTTGAGGTTACATTGACCAATTGCCAGAGCCTCTGCCATACACAAAAGCCGAAACCTAATGCCCTTTGTACCATTTGGCTTCACTTTGTAGATGATGTTGAAAGACGACTTTGGTGGAGTTACGTGGCCTGAGTTCACCAAATGCTCGAGAATTCAGCTAGTAATTGTCTTGCATAGTCCCTTTGCTAACCATGCCGGATAATGTTCAAAGATACGTTTGGAAAGCGTGCGCTTTGTGGGGTCAATATAACTAACTCCACACGAGCAGGTGAATTTATAAACACACATTCAGATGGCATAAAGCGGCAGTTTATCCTTCAAACATCCATTGATCATTTGTCGGCTGTAGAAATTGATATATATAGCTCAGCCATAAAGAAAGCTTTCCTCAGTGATCTGTATAAGCAATTCTTCAGGATCTTAGCTGCGGTATCACCTTTAAATTCAACACTGATAAATAGCAGTTTCTTCGGGACCGTCTGGATTCTTTCAGGCTTTTCTGTTAACTTCATGTTTTTCTCGATAAATCTTGGAGGATATTCATTCTGTATGAGAACTTGTCTGAGTTGCCCCAGTTCCTTATCGATTGCATCACTTGAACGTATAGTCATTCAAAACTGTCAACTGGCATTATTAAATTTTGCTGTTTTTGAAAAGCAATCTGAATTACAATGACAAGTGGAATAACGCCTGAGTGTTCGTTCAGTGACGGATAAGGATTGACTCATATCATGTAAACTATAGTGAAATGTTTATTTGTTTTTGGTAAAATAAATGGATCACAGTTAGATCACAAACAGTTTTGACATGCATATATATATGCGTTTTTTACTTAGAAAGGGAGTCGACAGGATGACCAGAAAATGAAGGCTTGTTAATTAGTGTCAACAGATATAGTCAGCTATCAAAGTAAGTGATAAATAAGTGCCTCAATTTGACATCGACTTCATACTTATCTATACACTGTTATCTAGCGTTAATTGATGATGATGATGATGAACAAGATTCATATGTTTGATATTCATTATAGATATCAAAAACGCCAGAAATCAAAAATACTGAAATGTTTAGCATAAACTGATATTAAGTACACTGTATAAACAAGCTAAAGCATATATTATATCTGCTAGGAATCCCATAGTATTAAAATAGCTATCCTCATCATTCGGTAATCAGACTTCATAAGGCTTTCAACAGTGAAAACATTAAAAAAAGGAAGGCAGGTATAGTATGCGTTGGAAAGTAAAGCTGATTAAACTTACCGGTACTTTGATTTCAGCCTGCTGTTTGCTCCAAAATATCCTTTCTTGACGTCAAACTAACAAGACGAGAACAGGATGGAACACTAAAAAGATCTATCTACAGAAAGTCGGTATGGAATGGAGAGCTTACTAACTTTCACAGTTGGGTACCCCTATACACCAAACGAAACATGATCAGTTCACTCAGCTACAGAGTTTGCAGAATTTGTACCCCGGACACCGTAGAAGATGAACCGCTCTACATGAACCTTCAATTCAATGGAGATATATCTGCGGAAACACTAAAAAATCGACTGTCACGCTCACTCAAGAAGACCTTCTTCGCAGCTGAACTGCGACTAACTTTCTCCACAAAACCTATGATTCATGTGAACGTAAAGGATAAGCTACCAATGTTGGCCTCATCAATGTGTATTTATCAGTTCACCTGCTCGTGTGGAGCCAGGTATGTCGGCCGTACCCAGCGTTCGCTTTCCAAGCGTATCACCGAACACTTACCAGCATGGTTTTACAAAGGAGAAAAACAATGTCCCCGCAGCTCCATCTTAGAACATCTGAGAGATTCCGGACACCAAGCTGCACCCCAAACAAACTTCAAAGTAGTCTATAGAGTAAGAAGTAGTCTTCCAAAAGGTGTACGAATCAGACTTCTTCAAACTTCAGAAGCAATGGCGATTCACTCTCTAAGTCCTGAACTCTGCATACAGAAGGAGTTCGTTCAATCACTACACTTGCAATAGATAAAATATATCTTATTACCCAACAAGTAAATTCTACTTAATTTGTTTTCTCTTCTGTCTCTTCATTAGTGTTATTTTGTCTTCTCAATTGTAATATTTTGCATTTTCAACCTTCTTGTTCCCTACCCTCACCCGATTGAATTTCTACACCTCATTACCACTGTTACTGACTGTTACTGACCGACGCTCAATTTCTAGTCATTTATGTCACGTCATCCAACTTCTTTGCTCAATTTCAGTTCTAATTTAAATGGCATTATTATCTACGCCACTTCTACTTAGTCTCTACCTGAAATTCCCTTTGTTGCTACCCTGAACTAAGTTGAAACATTTTAGTCAATTATATTACGTCGTCATCTAACTTACTAACTCAATCTTACTTTAGTTGCTGTCTGATTAACCTTGTTTCTATATTAGATCATTCTTTTATTACTTGATCAATTATCTACACTTGACAAACCTCATGTACACACATACACACAAATAATTATATATAAATGCGATTGTACAGCTAGCTATGTGAATGAATTCACCGGCGAAAAGAGTCTCTTCGCTGAACGTCTTCTCTTTTACATATGACTAAATGGAGATTTTCAAGCTACTGAAACGTTGCAGTTTATTTTGTTTGTACACCTGTATACTACTTAATAAAGATATAAAGCAATGCCCAATAATATGTTATCCATACATTGCACACCATCAGTAGTATAAAATCAAGAAAGACGGAAAACAAGAAGATATGCGTCCTCTATCCTGAACATTGTTTTCAGACAAACACTGACCAATAATATATATGTATATATATATATAATATAAGTTCAAGGTAATTAGTGATTTTACATGTACTCCATTCACCACAAAACAATTCCCTACACTGTGCTACACATTTACTAATCAACCAGTAAATATTTCGATGATTACTTTGTTCTATAAGATTTGATTATTTCGTAGGTATGGACAAATTTGCATATTGACCTAGATGTCAATTCCAAAAGTATCGTGTACTGACAGATCATTTAAGTGCTATCAAAAGCAATTCGGAATAAACACAAACTAGAAGAGCTATTTTAATCCTTCAGCTTTCATTTGTTCAGCGATAAATAGTTGTTGGATTCTAAACTCGTATTCAATCCAGGTTGCCACTCATCACCTGAATATACCTACATCCTAGTGAGTGGCGACACTCTAATCGGAAATCATTTGAAACAGTGTGACATTTTTCACTGTGGTAACGAGTTACGATAACCATCTCCTTGCAAAATGAATTATCACCTGCATTTATTCATTCATGCATCATACCTTGATTAAGTAAAATCACTCACCAATAGGATTGATGGCTGACATCGTGGCACCACTAGAGATCTCAATTCACAATAATGAATGCTGGCTCTCAGTATACACAAACAACTGCCAACATGAAATACACACATTAATTTCTACCACAAACCATCGACAAACAAATCATATCAAGATGAAACCGTCAGAAGTATTGAACTGCTGACTCAAAGTGTTCATGTGACAAAAGGAACAGATCAATTCTGTCTAGTCAGACCAACAGAGAATCAAAAGTAGGAATGAGTGAATAAACAAATAAATAGATAAATAAATAAATAACCTCATGATGGCTAATTATTTCGATTCACATAGTTGAACTTTTGTGTGTAGGTCAAACGCGGCGACTTGTTTACACAAACAATATACTTGTGCACATATCTCTAAAGGAATTCAATTTGATTCAACCGAAATACATGTTTGCTTTACAACAAACAAACAAACGAACAGATGAACACATAGGATCACAGAATTTTGAGAAAAAAAACGGAGTTTTGTTTACTCGTTCTCACTCCACTTCCACCAAATTCGACTCTGTTTTCGATTCTACAAACAACTCATTCAAAGACACACTTGTTCATTGAACGCGCGAAGAAATATTTTTCCAATGGTCACTCTTAAAGTATGAGAGATTTCACAATGTTTATCACAATTATTGCTAATAAATTAAACGGATACACTGGGTGGTGGAGGTTTCTGAGTTATTGGGCAAACAAAATGTATTCAGTCAATTGAAAATAACGAAAAACAAATATTTCATCAGACCAAATAAATCATATTTGACGAGTAGGTTCAATTCTCTCCACCTTCAAATTCTACACCACAATCGCTGTTGAAAAATGAACAACGGTTTGAATCGCCGATAAAATTGAATCACTCCTGTGAATAAAAGTGTATGATAGAAGGATAAATGTTAGGCTGAAAAAGAATCATAACAAATCACAGCTCACATTAGACTTCTAAATAACTCTGAAATACAGGTGATTCTGGGGTGAACGGTTACATAGTAGAATGAAACAATCTCTCACTGGGTTTAGTCAGTTTTCTCGTATGCATTATACATATTTCTGTCAGTGGTAATTATTACTATTA